CCCATTCTGCAAACAGTGCTGCACCAGTTGAGTAGTCCTCGACTTACGACCGGTTGAGTAGTCCTCGATTTACGACCGGTTGGGGGTCGCGGCATTAAAAAGGTTGAGAACCACTGATCTAGTCCTTCTGAGGGTCATTGGGGGCACTTGAGGGGTTTATCTGTGTCTTGGGGGTCTCCTGAATCGGAGTGCAAACAGATGGGGAACCTTCTTGGAACTGCTGAAAGGATCCTGATGGGGAGAGGAGGTGGGTGGTCTGTTGAGAGAGGGCTGCTCAGTTTTGACCTAGATGGCCTCATTGGCCCCTCTTTCAAACCGGGGGTCCTCTCTGTGCAGAATGTGGACTTTGCTGTCTTCGAAAGAGTGACCTTGGTCTTTCAAATGCAGATGGATCACTGAATCCTGTCTTTTTTTTTTATTGAAAATTTTTATAAACTTTTTACAATAAAATACCTCCCCCCTCCCACCCCCCATAACCCTCCCCCCTCCTTCCCAGAGCTGAATACAGGGTTAAAAAAAACAAAACGTACAAATTAAATGAACATCAATCAACTATACATACATCCAAAAAGATTAAAAGTACTTTAACTCCAATACATTAAAAACAACAAATCCTACCATGGCTACATTAAACTATAAATTATTCAAAAGCTAAATAATACTCTCTAATCCCATCTTTATTCTGTACAAAATTTACCCATCTTTTCCATGGTTTGTTCTCCTGTGTTGTGCTTCGGGTTTGTGAAATGCTTGTTTCGTTTCTCCAACATACAGATCTTCACGTGGCTCAGTGCGTTGTGGTACATAGGCCACGTTGCTCAGTTTGTGTCTGGGTATTTTATCCTTGGGGTGGACGAGCTTCTGCCTTAGTGTATTCTTGGGCTTAAAGTGTGCACTTGTGTTGCTGGAACATGTACAACCCAATCCTTTCAGCAGTCCAAAGAAGATTGCACACCCATTTTGCACTCTGATTCAGGAACCTGGGGGCACAGATAAACCTCCAAGTGGCCTCAGAAAGAGGGCTAATAACCAGAGGACTGCAAGGAATATAAATCCTTCCATTTCCCCACCATTCAGCTAGAAGCTTCTTGGATGAAAAGCGAAATGTCTTCAAGGAAAACAAAACAAGTGCTTTTGGGACAAGCATGACCTGGATGACTGAGAATCTCCAGAGACATAAAGACTTCTCTAGTTGTTTTGCAATGTAGGTGGAGTTCCCATTGCAACCTCAACCAGCACCAGAAATTTCATTGCTAAGCAAGATGGCAAGTGAGTTAAGCCACAGTGTGATTTGGGTTCAGTAGAGCGGGTTGTGTAAATGGGAGCCATTGTGCTTTATCAGGACACAAATCTAAACAGCTAGAGGGCAGCAAAGACTTAAAATATTTCGAATATCTTTGCTTGCTGCCACCAAATCTTCTGCAACTAGAATCTCATGGGGATGTGGTTACATGACACGCCCCGGCACAAGTTTTAGAGATCCAGTTTGGTGTTACGGTTCAGGCATCAGGCAAATAACTGGGAGACAGTGAGTTCTAGCCCTGCCTTTGACATGAAGCCAGCTGGGTGACATTGGGCCAGTCCCTCTCTCTCAGCCCTAGCAAGGAAGCAATGGCAAGCCACTCCTGAAAAACCTTGCCAAGAAAACTGCAGGGCTATGTCCAAACAGTCTCCAAAAAACTGGACATAGTTGAATACAGAACAGAAGACATTTTAGAGCAGTGGTTCTCAACCTTTTTAATGCCGCGACCCCCAACTGGTCGTAAGTCGAGGACTACTCAACTGGTCGTAAGTCGAGGACTACTCAACTGGTGCAGCACCATTTGCAGACTGGGGCTTTTGGCGGGCTCAACAGGGCAGAGACAGCCTGGACAATTCCTATTGGCTTTTGAAAGCCAATAGAATGAGACTCTATTCAAGAGAGTCTATTCTATTGGCTTTCAAAAGCCAAGAGAATAAAAGGGAGGAGCACAGCTTAGGAAAAGGGGGAAAAAATGGCGGACTGCGTTGTTTGGTGACCCCCGTGAAATGGTTGTTCGACCCCAAATGGGGTCCCGACCCACAGGTTGAGAACCACTGCTTTAGAGATCTTCTAGTCCATAAACCCTGCCCCCGTCCAAGTTCATAGAATCGTAGGGCTGGAAGGGATCTTGGAGGTCTTCTAGTCCACCCTCCCGCCCCCGCCCAAGTTCATAGAATCATAGAATCTTTGTCTGGAAGGGACCTTGGGAGTCTTCTAGTCCAGCCCCCTGATCAAGCAGGAGACCCTATATCAGTGGTTCTCCACCTGTGGGTCGGGACCCTATTTGGGGTCGAACGACCATTTCACGGGGGTGGCCAAACAACACAGTCCGCCATTTTTTTCAGCTCCATCTGATTCATAATAACACAGTGCTTAGCAAAATAAATAAAAAGTTTTGGCATCAAAATGTTGTGTAGCTGACTTTGGCAAAAAAACAAACAAACAAAAAAACAAAACAAACCAGCAGTCGGGTAGCCCCGTTTGTAATCAAGAAATGTTATTAAGAGGCAGAAGATTATTTTAATGAAAACAACAACACAAAGCTTTTTTTTTAAAAAAAGGGAGTTTGAGAAGGTTTTGCCCTTTACTAAAATTAGTAAAGTTTAATCAGGAAATAGACTTCTCAACTTCTAATCCAGTGGTTCTCAACCTGTGGGTCGGGACCCCATTTGGGGTCGAACGACCATTTCACTGGGGGTCACCAAACAACGCAGTCCGCCATTTCTTTTCCCCTTTTCCTTAGCTGTGCTACTCTATTCTCTTGAATAGAGTCTAATTCTATTGGCTTTCCAAAGCCAATAGGAATTGTCCAGGCTGTCTCTGCCCTGCTGAGCCCGCCCAAAGTCCCATTCTGCAAACGGTGCTGCACCAGTTGAGTAGTCCTCGACTTACGACCGGTTGGGGGGTCGCGGCATTAAAAAGGTTGAGAACCACTGCTCTATACCACTTCAGACAAACGGCTGTCCAATCTCTTCTTGAAAACCTGCGGCTTTAGAGCAGACAGCAGCAAACTGGAAATCCTCCTTGGAGAAGCCGTTCTAGTCAGCAAGATTTCGCTTCCTGCCGAGCAGGTCGGATGGCCGGGCACGAAGGCGGGCCGGGCGCCTGTGTCTTTCATGCTTGTGTCAGGGAAGGAATTTCAGCAGGTGTGCCTGTCAGCCCAGCTTCCCTCCCAGTTGATGAGCAGAGATAAAATCTGTGGCCACTGGAGCTGGGTGGGGCCTGCCGTGTTCAGGGGCTGGTATCGCAAGGGCTCTTTTGATGCAGCTAGTCCTCAAGGGGATTCATTAAAAAGGAAAACGCAGATAAAACCATTAGAACAGCAGATTAAGACTTTATATATATAAAAAGAAACATCTTCGCAGATCACACCTTCCACCCAAAGGAAGCCACCCAGAGTTGCTTGACAGTGAGACGGGCGGCATCTAAATACATAAAATAAATACAGGTAGTCCTCATTTATTTATTTATGAGACTTATATACCGCTTTTAAGTGCAAGCACTCTCTAAGCGGTGTACACCAGTAAGCAATGTATGTATATATTTACGTTGCCCCCAACAATCTGGGTCCTCATTTTACCTACCCCGGAAGGATGGAAGGCTGAGTCAACCTTGAGCCGGTGAGATTTGAACCGCTGACCTGCTGAACACAGTCAGCTAAAGTGGCCTGCAGTACTGCACTCTAACTGCACTAGTCCTTGACTTACAACTGTTCATTTAGTGACTGTTCAAAGTTACAACAGCACTTTAAAAAGTCACGACCGTTTGTCAGACTTACACCATTGCAATGTCCCCCTGGTCACATGATCAAAAATAAAACAATTTGCAGCTGACTCATGTTTATGACGGTCGCCGTGTCCCGGGGTCACGTGATCCCCTTTTGCGACCTTCTGGGAAGCAAAGTCCATGGGGGAAGCCTGATTCACTTAAGAACCATGTTACTCACTTAACAACTGCAGTAATTCACTTAACCACTGTGGCTCATAAAATGGAGCAAAACTCAATAATTGCCTCACTTAGCAAGAGAAATTTCGGCTCAGTTGTGGTTGTACATTGAGGACTACTTGTAATCAAAGAACAGCATGATTGCAATAAACAACTGCAATTTAACTGCTGGGGGAACATCTGGGTTGGCTCCAGAGAGTGAACGGGGCCCAGGAGCTGGAAAGCAAGTTTCTTTTGAGAAATGGTGGTCCTCAATCTATGACACAACTGGGCTCTGAACCTCCCTTGCAAAACAAGGCAATTGTTAAGTGAGTCACTCCTGATTTTACAATCTTTTTTGTCAGGGTGGTTAAGCAAATTGCTGCAATTGTTAAGTGGATCACTCAGTCATTAAGCGAATCTAACTTCTCCCACTGGGGTTGCTTGGAAACTGGACGGGAAGGTCACAACCGGTGCTCATGTAGCTCTGGGATGTGACAACCATTGTAAATACACACCGGTTGCCAAGCACTTGAATTTTGATCACAGGACTGTGGAGACGCTGCAATGGTTGTTAGTGTGAGGACTGCTTGCCAGTCAATTTTTCTGGTGTCGTCAAATGAAGAGTTGTAAATGGAGGACTACCTGCATAGGAAAGAAATCTAAAACAGCAGTGGGAACCTTGGGAGAAAAATCCATCCTTCACGTGGCCCCTACAACCCACATCGGCCTTTCAGGCTTCCAAGGTCCCATCTTCAGGCCCTGGGGTCTTTGGGGAGCCCCCCCCCCAGTGTCCCATCTTGGCGCCCAGCCTTGGAGCTGCCAGCCAAGGAATTATGATGACTTGACATGGCCCGCCAAGCACCCTGGCACCCCCTGCAAAGTCTTTTCCCTTTATAAACGAAACCTCGCCCCCCCTTTTTTTGAGAAACACCTGTTCAAACTTGCTAAACAGGTTAATATTTTTTTTTTCCCCTGGCTGGCTTCCCCTCCCTCTGGTCATGTGTGAGGAACAGGTTGTAGAGTTTCAAAACACAAGCAAAAGCGGCTTGGCGGAGCCAACACAACTTTGGTGCCGGATCTGGAAGAGACCCCCCCCTTGGATGCCCACCGAAGACCCCTGTGGCCCCCAGCCTCCTCGAAACAGCCCCCCCGGTCAGTGACAACACGATGGGACTCTGGGCTTCTCTCCTGCGGGTGTGAGTGTGTGTGTATATGTGTGTGTGTGTGGCACACACAGGCGGAAAGCGGGGCTGATTCCTTCGTTCGGGTTGCTGGCGAGGAGGAGACACAGGACGGATTGTAGAGCTTCGTAAGGCAGCCAAGGCTTTTGGGGGAACACGGGGAAGTGTGCAAGGCACTTTCTGACCCCCAACACCACCACCACCACCACACCTGGGCACACACCATGCTGTGGAACATCTTCCTGCTGTTGTTGCCAATCTCTGGTAAGTCACTGGTTTTCTCCTTTCCTTGATTTTCCCCATGCCAAAAGTGGTCACTATGGGCTCAGCTTTCGGGACGGAGACAACATCTAACTCTTTCCTCTCCACGGAAAATTTTTTTGACTTATTGACCAACGGGTGAATGACAGTTTTGTTAATATTTTGCTTTGCTTGGGGGAGAGACTTTTGGGTGGGGCCAGGCCCACCCCACCCCACCTTTGCTCCCTTGATTTTTTTTTGCACCAATGGAGAAAGTGTGTAAGGAGGCATCTGTGGGACAATCTCTGAGTCCCCCTGATTCGGAGGAGAGACTCGGTTCTGAGCAGAACTTTTGGGACTGGCTTGTTTGTTGCATCATTGTCAATCTCCTTCTTGAGTGTGCTTCATCAGTTTGGTTGATCAGTTTGATTCCTGCAGGGTAGGAGATAGAATTCATATGTTTTTTTTAGACGAGACGGATCAGATTTACTCTTCAGGGGTGAGGAGGTGCAAGAGAGAGTCTGGAGAGGAAGGAATCTCCAAAAATGTCCAAAGGGACAAGCCTGAGATGCGTCTTAGCTTTCTCAATTGCAATGAGGAAATAGCTTTCTCGGGCATTGTGGGCCGGAGACAGGAACTGGCAGCAGCAATTGGTTAAAATCCTGCAACCCGCAAATTAATTGACCCATAAATGAATTGTCAGGGAAAACTGAGCAGGTTTGGCTTTGCAAACAAGGGAAAATTAAAAATAAAAAAAAAAAGTTGGCAGTAATCCGTTAGGTGGAGCGAGGATAAGGCTGGTCTGCCAAGCTGGCAGTGCCAAACTTTCTTTGAAAGAAGAGCAAAAACACAACGCCGGGATTTCTTAATCTCTTAATAAAGATCTTTTAATATGGCAAATGAGAATTGCTTTCTTAAACAAAAAACCACGTAAATCCCCATCGGGGTGAGGCTCTAACAGAGCCTAAAACTTGACGCTTTTTGGAGAAAGATGCTCGGTTTTCTGCCTCTCTTATTGTCTCAGGTCTTCGTGCAAAAGGCAGATTTGGGTGAAAATCCTCGGTTTCGGTTATTTTTGCCTTCTGCATCGGTTGCTTGCCTGTACAGGAAAGTGACCGGGAAGTGAAGGGGTGGGGGGGGGGCTTTGCTGGGAAAAGCAGAGCTGAATAACTTAGAACAAGGTTTTCCAACTTGGGGTACTTGGAGATGGGTGGATTTCAATTCCCAGAATTCCCCAACCACAAACATACCTGGCAGGAACTTAATATGGACTTCAGTCACACCGTGGTGGAGTCTTTATCCCAGTGTTTCTCAACCTCTGGCACTTGAAGATGGCTGGACTTCAACTCCCAGAATTCCTCAACCAGCAGAGCTGGCTGGAGAATTCTGGGAGTCGAAATCCACCAGTCTTCAAGTGCCAGAGGTTGAGAAATTCTGCTTGATCCCAAGCAATTGATGTAAATCCTTGATGTTATTAAGACAGCGATGACTTGCCATCATTTCCAGCCAGCAAAGAATGTTCCTACCCATGTGCAGAGTTCCCCACTGCCTCAGACAGCTGGAGGGAGCTATCTCCGTGATGTTTCCCCATCAGGCTGTTGCCCCATCAGGAAATGCTCCGCCAGGGACGGTTGGCTCCAGATCTTTCCCACTCCCCAGCAAATGAGGGACCCTCACCTCCCCAAAAAACAAAGTAGCCACCCCCCCCCAATGGGGTTGCTGTTGTGTTTGCATAGCCCACCGAGCCTGGCTGAGCCCAGTGTACTGATGAATCAGCCTGCAGGGGAGGCTTATCCCGAAAAACCGGTTTGGAGTGATAACCACGAATAAGGGTGCAATGATAGCTGAGGTTGTATGGCTTCTCGGCAGAGTACCTGTTGGGCTGTGCGGTCTCTCTCCTGCCCGCTGCAGTAACTCGGCAGGTTTTCTGCATCGCTGCTGACTCAGCGTTCTTGCCGGGTGCCTGTGAGGCCCTGGCACCCTCTGAGTCACCTTGCCAGCCTGGGAAAGGAGGCAGGCCTGCAGAGCATGGCCAGGGGTAGTCAGCAGATGGCCACACACCCCTGGCTTGGACAAGGACACCCCCCCCCCAGCAATCCTTTCCCTCCTTAAAAGACCCTGAGATGGGGGTGGCTGCAGAGCCTGGTGCGAGAGGTCAAAATCTGGGGTGCAATTGAACGATGTCATGTTGACCCCCACCCTTGGAGCCCCTGCTTTGTAGTTATTGGGATTTGGGAATGGGATAACAGTATGACAAAGGCAAAGAAAAAGGGAAAAGTTAGGAAAGAAAAAAAAAGGGAATGGAAGGAGGAAAGAAGGAAGGAAGGAAGGAAGGAAGGAAGGAAGGAAGGAAGGAAGGAAGAAAAGAGAAAATGGAAAGAAAACAAAAAATGGAAGGAAAAAAGGGGAAGGGAAGGGAAGTGGAAGGGAGGGGGGAGGGATGGAGGAAGAAAGGAAGGTAGGAAGGAAGAAAAAGGGAGGGAGGGAGGGAGGGCGGGGAAGGGGAAGAGAAGGAAAGAAAACAAAAAAGGAAGAAAGGAAGGGAGGAAGGAAGGAAAAAGGGAGGGAGGAAGTGAAGGAAGGTGGGGAAGGGGAAGAGAAGGAAAGAAAACAAAAAAGGAAGGAAGGAACGAAAGAGAGGAGAAAGAGAAGAGAAAATGGAAAGAAAACAAAAGACAGAAGGAAGGGGAGGAAAGGGAAGGGAAGTGGAAGGGAGGGGGAGGGATGGAGGAAGAAAGGAAGGTAGGAAGGAAGAAAAAAGGGAGGGAGGGAGGGAAGGAGGGCGGGGAAGGGGAAGAGAAGGAAAGAAAACAAAAGAAGGAGAGAAGGGAATTTTGACTTCCGTCCATGGCATAATTGTCATCTTAATTTTAATCCTAACTATCTTCAATCCTTTTTAATTCTCACCTCCATAAATTGTCTGCTCAGTTTTGTCTTCCTTTTTAGCAAAAAGTCCCACAAGCAAAGTCGGGGGGGGGCACTATTCACTTAACACTTGCTTTGCTTAGCTATAGAAATTCCAGTCCCAGTTACGGTTCCACGCCAAGGACTTGCCTGCATTGCAAGCAAAGGCCGGACAGCCCCTGTCCAGATTGCGGATGAGCAAAGGGACTGACGTTGCCAAGAGCGGAGTTGGCATCCTCCGAAGAATGATTTTCACTCTAAAGCAGTGGTTCTCAACCTTTCTAATGCCGCAACCCCATAATACAGATCCCCATGTTGTGGTGAACCCCAACCACTTATACATCACCGGGTGCCAGGGGCGTGGCCAAAGAAAAGGGGAAAAAAAATGGCGGACAGCCTTGTTTGGCGACCCCCGTGAAATGGTCGTTCGACCCCAAATGGGGTCCCGACCCACAGGTTGAGAACCACTGCTCTAAAGTCAGGCTTTCCAAACTTGGCTACTTCAAGTCCACAAGTCTTGAATTGGCCACTTTTGGAGAGCCCTGGTTTACTCAATGCTCTGTTTTTCAACCTTAGCCCCTTTTAAGATGCGTGGACTTCAACTCCCAGAATTCCCCAGCCAGCCCTGTTTTGGAAGGAAGGAAAAAAAAGGGGGGGGGAAGGGAGAAAACTGGGGATAGGTGAGAAGGCGGAATACTGCTTTAATTGGAAATTGTAACAGGAAATGCCAAGTTGTGGCCAAAACCAGTGTTATTTGCGCATACATGGAAACACACAGACCTACTTGCCATTTCCTTGTTGACCACACGCACGCACACACCCAGTGGCCAAGTCGGCTTTGTGGTTGCATGTCCTTGAAAGTGGCTGGGGTGGGGGGGGGCAGTCAATGGCTGAGCTTGCAGGATGTACAGTCCTGGGTGTGTGGAGAGAAATAGCTGTGAGCCCTGCACTGGGCTATCTCAGTGGTTCTTAACCTTTTTGAACGAATCGCCCCCTTGAGTCAATGAGGAAGTTGTCATCGCCCCCCCCCTCTCCCCCAACACAACCTCTCAATCACAACATAGGAAATAATTCTTCAATTTATGCAAACACTTGTTTTGTTTTCTTTAAAATTGTCATCAGGACATATCGATGCAAATAATTTATTTCCAGTCTTTTTCCCTTATCTCAACTGTGTGAAAAATTTTGGTGCCACCCGTCACTTTATTCCCAAACTTTGTGATACATATATTTCATTATTATCTTATTTATTCAAGACACTTAAATGTAATGACCACTTTGAAAACAAAATTCAATTGCAAGAAAGTGAAATGCCCGAAAAGAAAAACAGTAATATTTAATGATTGAATTACAAGTGAAATTTAAGACGCAAAAAGAAATATAAAAAGGGTAGAGGCTGCTGCACAACGCGCATGAAGATAAGCGATGCGTATTCACATATGTACGGCGTTCTGTCCTGAAGCTAGCTGGAGGAACATTTGAAAACACAATTCAATCCACTAATAGCGAGCAATCTGATGTTTTTGTACGACAGATATACAGCGATTCACTGTACGAAAAAGTCTCAAAAGTGTCCCCAAAACTTCTCGCTCCATCGCCCCCATATCGCCCCCTTTTCGTTCTGTTGCCCCTACGTCGCCCCTTTTTCTTCCATCGCCCCCCTGAAAAATGAAATCGTCCCCTGGGGGGCAATATCGCCCAGGTTAAGAACCACTGGGCTAGAGTCCCTTCCGACTCTGTTATTCTAAATTCCGAGTTCTAAAATTCTAAATTCACACAACCTTCAGTCTGCATATGGGGAGAGGGATTCTTTCCCTCTCTCCTTCTCTGGTTCAGAGTGTGCCGCTTTGCGCAGACCTGACCATTCGATTCATTCACGATTCAGTGTAAAGTCCTCAAATTACAACCGTCGATTTAGTGACCATTTAAAATGACAATGGCACTGAAAAAAAGGGGACTTTTTTCACACAGTTTGTCACACAGTTTGTCACACAGCCGTTGCAGCATTCCCCCACGGTCACGTGATCAAAACTCAGACGCTTGGCAGCTGACTCGTATTTACGACGGTCGCAGCGTCCCGGGATCTTGTGATCCGCTTTTGTGACCTTCTGCCAAGCAAA